TTTAAAATGTTTTACTGTGTTTATCTATTAATTATACTTTAAGGACTCATTTTAAAGAACAATTAATTAATCATATAACTAGTAAAATGATAAATTAAATTGTAAAAGCTTAAATGATTTTGTTGAGAAATTCTACTTTTAATAATGTGTCCTATGAAAGCCCATTTCCATGTATGCCAAGAGATAAGCATATATATGTGGAAATTTATTTTAGCATTATTTATAACTATAAAAAGTAAAACAACTTAAATATCCATCACTAGTAGGTTAGGAAAATAAATTAGGTTACATCTATAAGATGAAATATGAACAGCCGTAAAAATAGTTTGAAGTGTGCTGATGTGTCTATAATAATACTATTAAAGCAAATCAAATTGCATGTGCATGTACATATGCACATTGTTTTTGCTTCATTTACACACACAGATGCACATAAACATAGTCATAAACCCATAAGAAAGTCTTTGGAAGTAGACAACTCTATGGAGAAGATGGAAGACGGGTTACTATATACTTCACATACATTTGTATCATTTAACTGTATTTTATTTACAACCATAAGTATTGTGCTTGTAATTTTTTTAAATAAAGGAAAGATTTTAAATGACCCTCAAATTCCTAGCAACTAACACCTTTACTACTATTACTGCGCTATTTAAATATTCTTGAGACAGCTCAACTACAATGAGTACTTAGTAAACTCAGATATGGTTTCTGTTTTGTAGCAAATGTTCCCCAAAAGCCTTCTTAATTGTAAATAGATTTACAGAGACTGGTATGCACCAATGTGCTCACTAAAATTTATTTTGAAGGTCATAATCCTTCTGTAGATTATAAATACCAATTAGGCAAAATCTAAGGCTACACATGTTATAATATTTATATTTATGTGACTGGCCAAATAGCTCAGTGGATTAAAGCACCTGCAAGCAGGCGAATGGCCTGGGCATTCGATCCCCAGGCCTGCTGTGCCGGCCCTGCCCCTGGGGCATGCTGAGATGGCAATTGAGACTGGGTGTGGTGGTGTGCACCTGTAATCCCAGCTCTTGGGAGGCTGTAAACAGGCAGATCACTATGAGTCTGATCTAGTAGTGAGACCCTGAACACCCTGTAGACCCTTCCTTAAAATACAAAAAATAGAAAATATTTATATTTATAAAACTTTTATAAATTTCATAATATATTTGACAGTGGCCTTTAAAAGCCTAATATGTCATATATAATATAGAATTTATTTCCATATTGTCACCCTTCTCTTGGACATTGCACGCCTAAGATTCAAGTAGAAGTCCTATGGTATTGTATATATTTCAGCAGCAAGGCCGGCAGTGACTCCAGCCGGTAGCATAATCCCTCACAATGGGTCGTCACTGTTAGAAATTCCTTGTAAAGGAAGCTTCTAGGAGAATGGCTCAATACCTTTTGGGGCCACGGGTTCCCTTCGGATGATCCTTCACGGTGTGAGGGTGAAAAGACAGGCTTTGCAAGCTGACGTGTTTTTTCGCAAACCTCAGCTTTACTACTTATTTGATTGGAGCTCTTAAGCAATTTGTCTAATCTCTCTGAGCGTCTCTTTCCTCATCTATAAAATACTTGGCACATGAGAACAACTTACTAAAAGTTGTCCTGTTGTTACAATGTCATGAAAACTAGCATGGACTCTACCTCAGGGGAAAAAAAATCCTTGCAGTTTTTAGAGTATTGAGTACAATTTTAAGTGTTTTGTGAAGTCCTTCAAGGCCATTCTGACCCTCAGGTTAGGAACTCCTGCTCAAAGGCCGGCCAGATAGCTCAGCAGACGAAAATGCCTGTTTAGGCAGAGCGCAGTGGCTGGAGGTTCAATCCCTGGCGTGCCGACCTGGCCCTGCCCCTAGGGTGCTCTGAGACTGCGATTGAGACTGGGCATGGTGGTGCATACCTGTAATCCCAGCTCTTGAGAGACTGTAAACAGGAGGATCACTGAGTCCATCTAATTGCAAGACCCTGAACACCCAGTAGATCCTTCCCTAAAATACAGAAAAAGAAAAAAATCCCAGCACTTGAGAGTCTGAAAACAGGAGAATCACTACCAGTCCAATCTAAGTAGTGAGACCCTGTAGGCCCTGTAGATCCTGTCCTAAATACAGAAGAAGAAGAAGAAGAAGGGAAAAAAAAGGAACTCCTTTTCAAAGGCATGGGAAGAATACTTGAAGAAACTTGAATAGTAAGAAGAATGTCTTCTACTCTTTTGATTCAGTCATATTAGACAGCATTTTCTTCTGTTTCTTCTGTTGGATTACTTGTGTGTTATGTCCATAAGGACTGAATTAGACTAAGGGGATGAATTATATGTTTTTAAAATGTACCAAAGAGCAAAATAAATGAAATCTGTGTAGCAATTTAACACATCAATTAGGTTGAGCTATTTACCTGCCAAGTGATAGAAAAGGCCATGGTAATTACCTGGATATATTAGATTTTTAAAGACCACTGCCAAAAGCATGTGATTGTCCAGGGCCATACTTCCAGTTCCTCAAACCACAGATGACATTACTTTAAACTGCTTTGTGTAAACTGTTCAGGCTTAAGCTACTAATCTCTAGCTTGAATCAGCTAGGACTGCCTCAATTATTTTCAAGTTCTCAAAAAGATACAACCCAAGTATCCTCAGGTAGCAGCATAAAGCAATAGCTTTCCTATTCCTTTGCTTTAGTCTGATCTCAAAGAAACAGAAATGATCTGCAATGTGTCTCTGCCATTAACTCAAATAGCATCAGGATTATTGATGAACGCATGTCCCCACAGTCTGTGAAAGCCTTCCTAGGGTTGGATGTAACCCCATTCCCTTCCTAACCTCTCTTGCCCAAAATCCATACTATCATTAAATAATACTGCTGTATGTGAACACCCCAGGAAAGGAGAGAAATCCTATATTGATGTTATTATTATCATTAGTATTATTATTGGATACCCATACTTAAAGATTGCTGCTACTGATGATGATGGAGAGGATTGGAAATGAGGGAACAGAAGGATTGTACAAAGAAAAACAATCCTTGGGGCCAGGGAGATAGCTCAGTAGAATATTGAGTTCAATCCCTGGTACAAAAAAAATCCTTATTTCATTCTAGAACCTAAAGAAGAGAAAAGTGTATGTATAATTTCAAGAAAGCAGAGGCTTTTTTGCAAGAACTTCATTATAAATAGTTCTTCAATGTCATGTTGATACTCACAAGAAAGTGACTTGTTGGTAAATACTATTCCAATTCAAAGGGACCAAACCTCACCGGCAAAATGATGGAGCAGAAAAGGTACATGATAAGCCTGGGACATCTTGTTGTGTAAGAAAATGATCAAGGAATGATAGAACATATCTAAAGAGCACAAGATTGAAGGGTTCCCACTGGCCAAATTTGGGCCAATTTGAGCATCAAAATAAACACTGTAATGGACTATAACTTAATAAATAAAATATTTCTGTGATATCCTACTTATATTAAAAAACATGTGAATTAATTAACAAGTGAAAATGGAAGAAAATTCTTACTTACAATAGAATCTCAACTAATAAATGTAGAAAATAATAGTTTCTTTAGCAAATCATCATTTTGCCACCATTATAATGATTTCTGTCTGAGTCGCTATCATTATATATTTTTAAATTTTATTTATTTATTTATTTATTTTTGTGTTTTAGGGAAGGATCTACAGGGTATTCAGGGTCTCACTACTAGATTGGACTTGTAGTGATGCGCCTGTTTACAGCCTCCCAAGAGCTGGGATTACAGGCACGCCCCACCACGCCCAGGCTCAATTGCTCTCTCAGTGCACCCTGGGGTGGGGCCTGCATGGCAGGCCAAGGATTGAACTTCCAGGCTGTGGGCCTGCTTGAAGGCACTTCAATCCACTGAGCAATTTGGCCAGCCCTGAGTCACTATCATTATAATGGTAGCAAAATGATGATTTGTTAAGAAGACTCAGACAAAAATCATTAAGTATAAAATTATTGGACAAAAGTTTGATAAGTAAAACATACTTACCTAACCTCCAAATATCTCCTTCAAAATTTTTTAATATTACCAAAATAATAACTTCAGAGCAGAGAAATTTGATGGACATCAGAATCACATGGTGAGAGTTATTATCATGAATAGGGGAACGACTTAGCACCACGTGCCTACTGATGAGATACACTGAGAAGAATACATCATTCTGAGATGTTCTTACCCAAAATACACAGCATATACTCACCCTAACCCTGAGGAAACATTACACAAGCCCAAATTAGGAAATGCTGTACCAAATAACTAGACTGCATTCTAGAAATGTCTAAGTTCCAAAAAGCAAGAAAATTCTGAGGTAGAGTCTGTTTCAGATTAGATTCTAGATCAAGTAAGAAGAAAATAACTATAAAAGAAATTACTACAGCAATTGGCTAACTATAAATAGGAACTGTGAGTTAGTCATTAATATTGTATAGATGCTAAACTGATTTTGATCACTGTATTAGGCTTAAGCAAAAGAATTCATTGTTCTCAGGGAATACACCCGATATATTTAGTGATAAAAAAAAATCAGGCCATGCAGACAACTTACTCTCAAATGATTCAGAAACAAAAATTTTGCGTGGATGTGCACGCGCGTGTGCGCGCCCATGTGTGTGTATGTGTGTGTGTGTGTGTGTGTGTGTCGGCAGAAGAGGAGAAAAGAGAAGTGAGAAATTCAGGTACATGGAATGATAAAGTAAATGGAAAAGCATTCATCTTTGGGGAAGCTGAGTAAAGATTACGCAAATTCTGTTATTCTGGCAAATTTTCTTTAGGTTTGAAATGAGATAAAAATAAAAGGTAAGAGAAAATGATGTTTACTAGACACTACAAAGGAGATGATAAAATTGTGACAACATTGGTCTCTTTGGAGGAAGACAATCTTGATCTAAGAGTAATTACTGCAAGTAGAAAGCTGAGTGGTACCGTAGCAATGTTACCCTTGCTGAAGAGAAAAATTGGTAAATTACTCACAACAGCGCAATCTCCTGTCAACAGTTGGGATGATCTTGTTGACAAGCCAAACATCTGCTTCCCAACTAACTACATTTCCACCTAAACACTTCATAAATTCTTCGTTTTCCAGGATGCGGTCCCAGAGTTGAAAGTAGTACAAGCTGCCAGTAAAGCGAGGTATCAAAGGTTTAAGGTGGCCAACCCCTTTCTTCCGAAAGTGTCCTAGGACCAGAGTCCCATTCGGTGGCAGGTTGTGTGGCTGATCCATGATTACCAATATCCTCTCTTTATTCAGGAAGAGCTCTAATCTGCCCTTCACACCATCCCATATCAAGCATATTGTGTGCCATTGAAGTGGAATTAGATGGTAACTGATATGAAAGGCCTTGCCCAAGTTGTATATTATTAGCTGTTGACGGTTCCCTGCAAGTCCAAGGTCTATGTCTTCTCTGCCGCGGAAGCGGTTATTAGTAATATAGGAGAAGGCTATCCAAGAACTTGAAGTGTCACCCCTGAACACCAGATCAATGCATGCTGTACATCGGCTGAGTTCAGGAACGGTGTTGGTCAGGCTTACATGTGTGTCACCTCTTCCATAAAAATCCAGTCTTTTGCCTTTTAGTGAAAGCATGTCTGTCCAAATTTGGAGATGGGAGACAGAGAAAACAAATGAAATTTCGGTTAGAAGTCTTTTATTATCTTTGGCAGTATAGTTAAATTCTATAATATAATTATGAGTCAATCCTATGCAAATAAGCAAATAGTAGGAACACAAAAAATCATCTCCTCTTGACATTATCATGTGATTTTCTTGGCAGAAGAGTCTCTGTAATTCTGTTTCTCTTGGACTAATAACAAGAAGTTAGATTAGAGTTCTTGGCGCACACACCACCTGGACAGTTTGGCGAGGTCCTTACCAGTCTGTGGCTAGTGGGGGAAGAGGCTTAGAAAAGGCAGCCTGCACTCTACATTTTCTACCCATAATGCTCATGCATATAATCAAAAGAGAATTATTTCCACCCACCTAACACCCCTTATTGTATTCATGATGCATCAGTTCATTTGTTTCTTCAATGTCTTTTCCTGAGCTGAATTTCTGATTTGTTTTGTCTCTGGAGTTGGCTTCTCACTGAATGGCACTGACAAATGCCTAAAAGATGACCAGCTGAACAATCCAGAAGCTCCAGGGCTTCTGCTTGGACTCAGAAATGGGAGAGATGCTGCTGCTGAGCACACCCGGATGACCCCTTCTCTCTCCTAAGGTAGCCACAGTGGGTTTAAGGCACTCTAGACAGCTACAGTTCCAGTGGCCACTGGCTCTGGAGTCAGATAGCCCAAGGTGGAGTCTTAGCTCTGACACCTATAAGCTGTACAACCTTTAACTGTTTCAATGTTTGCTTCAGTAAAATGGAGACCTAGAGTCACAGTGTTCTGTCTGCTCAAACAAAGGGGTCACCATTCCCATTCGACTCCATGCCAGGCAGCCCCTACTAACTTATTATTTGACGATTAAGTGAGATGAAGTACACAAAGACCTCTCTACTCCACTCTACCACTGAAGGGCATGTCCACTGCTATGGGCTTTGGGCAGGCAATTTGACAGTATCTACAAAAATTTAACTTGGGTATGTCCCCTGTTTCATAGGAAGTTAATGAATGGTGACATTATCACCACTTGAAATTCACAGTCACAAGCCACTGCTCATAAATATCTGAGAATCAAATGACATTAACCTAGTTCCAGTCTCAGTACAGTCCAGGCCAATCCAAGAGTTTTTTGGCAGAATGAAACTTCTCTCTGAATCATGCGGCAACGTGGGGGACACCACTCCAAACCAGCACACTACAGAAGCGGAGCACACCTACTGTTTCCTTGTCTCTAGGAGACGCCCCTGGATGAGAGCCTCCAGATATTCTCTGATCATACGATATTTTCTCATTCTGTTCCTCTACTGGCCATACTCAAAAAACAAAGGAGTACATGTGAATGCCTGCTACACACACATGTTGAACCTGTACACATCCATTTGCAGGAATCATGCCATGTTTTGCCAGTTATTTGTGAACTGTGTATGTTGGAGGAACAAATGCTTACTTCTGTCTCTGGCTAAGATGATTCTATAATCTTATGTTTCATGTGGCTAATAAATCAAGAGTTAATCCCACAAGACCATAATTAAAGTCTCAATTATTGTTGGTTAGCATGGTTTTTCTACTAAACTCTACAAAATGACAACAAACACAATATTTAAGAACTGTCTTTATGGTGAGCATAAATCTCAAGAGTTTACTTGTCCCTCAAAAAGAATGTACTATGGCCTCATGTGGTCTATGAGGCCCTCTCCTTTCTGCCATATATTAATGTAAAACAAATTGTCAAATGACAGGAGCAAGCGACTTACAAAATCAGAAATATGAAATCCAATAATATAAAAACATGTCACTTCATTATTTTAAGAACAAATTAATACATGAATAAGATACCTTTTTTGTGGAACTGGGGATTGAACTCAGGCCCTTGCGCTTGCCAGGGAAGTGCTTATTCTACTGAGCCATCTCCCTGGCCCAATAACATACCATTTTTGCCCATGAGATGGATAAAATTTAGAAGACAGAATCCCCAACACTGGCTAGCCCATATGGAAATGAGTCACTCTTATTGCTGCTAGTGGGAGTGCCAATTATGTTGTATACTTGAAGGATAATTTGCCAATATCTATGGCAATTTTAATTATGTGTATACTTTTTTTTTGGCAGAACTGGGGATTGAACTCAGGCCCTTGCACTTGCCAGAGAAGCACTTATTCCACTGAGCCATCTCCCCGGCCCCTTATGTGTATACTTCTGACCCAACAATTCGATTCCATAATTTATTCTCTATGTTTCTCTGTCTCTCTCTGTCTCTCTGTCTCTCTGTCTCTCTCTCTCTCCCTCCCTCTCTCTCTCTCTCTCTCTCTCTCTCTCTATACACACACACACACACACACACACACACACACACACACATCAGCATTGCTTGTGATGAAGAAACATTGAAAGCTTGTGTATCTATCACTATGGAGCTGCTTAGGAAAACTACTGCCTCTATATGATGAAGTATTACAACCTATAAGGCTGACTATTATAGTCATGAAGTGATTTTCAAGGCTTAATATGATGTGAAATGCAACTTACTTAAGTGTAAGTACATATTATCTTATTGCAATAAAATTAAAACTGTGTTAGCCTGCACTGAGAAAAAAATCTAGAAGAACACATCAAATAGTTAAGAATGGTTATCTTTAGTGTGAGGTTTAGAAAGATTTTGACTTTCTATACCACCCGCTTTCATAAAATCTGTATCTTTAACAATCATGTATTATGTTAATCATCAGAAAAATATAGACTGGTGAGTAGGTGGGTAGATGGATGGATGAATACATAGATAAATGACAGATAGATGGATGGATAGATGGATGGATGGATGGATGGATGGATGGATGGATGGACGGATGGATGGATAGATAGACAGAGATAGATAGAGATAGATAGATCCACTTGCGACCTTACTTGAGACTCTACAGACAGAGGCAAATTCTACTTAGACCTGAGCAGAACAGTAGTGTCATAGTGCTGAAAAGCCAGATTTGTGTCCCAATTGTGTCTCTTGGTAGCTGTGGACATGGTCAATTAATGCACATAAAGCTCTCAGGACAGTGTCAGGCAGATAGTGAGCACTATATAAATGTTAGATAAATAAATTTGTGTCACTTCTGTGTGCCTTGTGCTTCCATGATAAAATGGGATTAAAAACTCCCTACCTCACTGGGCCATTATGAAAGAGGACATGACAGCAACTACCATTTAGGTCATCTGCATGAGAATGTTTATAAACCATGAGGTGCCGTGCAAATGTCAGCTGTGATGTTTGCCAGTATCATTAGCAGAAACTTTCCTATTCCCATGACCACTTGCACAGTCTTACACACTCAAGCGCATCTGCGCTGAGCCCTGCTGCAGCCTCCAGGCCTCTGGCGGAGCTCTGAGGAGGTTGAGCTGTTATGAGCAGAGAGGGCTTTGAACCTTCTGCTTGGCCAGACAAGCTGCCTTCTCTGCAAGGCCTCTCAAGGGCCTGTTTCAAAGGCCACTTGTGTCTTTGCGTATGATTTTGCTATCCATTGCAGATGTCTTCTTGGGCAGTACCATCTGCTCACTAGCAATTTCCTCATCCAAACTGTATGATTGCTCCCCCAAAGTGTGCTCTCCCTTGATTTTGGCTTCTCTGGGTGTATTTACCTCTATCTGCTGTTTCTTTTTGCTTCAAATCCCATTTAGTATTTTCCTTACTTAAAAAAAAATAGATGTGTGGTTTCCTTTATAAAAGTGACAGTGTACATGTTTCCTTTGTAAAGAAAAAGTCAAAAGTCTTAGGAAGTAAAAAGATGAGAACAGTCAGAGCAAGAATTCTGCTACGCAGAGACCACCATGGACCCCTTAGCACTTTTCCTCTGATTCATTGTTCATTTGCTTTTGGTTTTCCTGTGCCCCGGTTCTTCTTGTTTCTGGACGGCTGGGATCCTATTGTGCGGAGAACATGGTCCTTTTCTTTTTTCACTTAGCATGATAACATCCGTATGTGCCTTGTTAGGAGAAGCCCATCGTACGCCTCATTAAAATGCCTGCGGTACAGCCCGAGGAGCACTGAGCAGCATTTAATTTGTATTGGGAAAAATTACATAACATTACATTCATTATTTTAGCAATTTAAAAGTGAACACATCAGTGATGTTCAGCAAGTCCACAGCAAAATCGTGTAGCAGCTAAGCAGTTATTCTGTGTCTACCCTTCTCCCATCCTCTGGCAGCAGCTGGTCTGTTTTCTATGTTTGTGGGTGTGCCTAATCTGAGCATGTCATATAGATGGAGTCATGCAGTCTGCGACCTTTAATGTCTGCATTCTTTTGTGTAGCAGAACGTTCATCCATGACGTGGCACTTTATCAGTGTCTCATTCTTGGTGGGACTGCATAACATTGCACAGTAGAGATACCTCATTGTGCTCAACGATTTCATCTGCTAATGTATATTTGGTTTTTTGTTTGTTTGTTTGTTTGTTTTTTGCTAATGTATATTTGGGTTGATTCTGCTTTTATTTTCATGAATGATGCGGGTGTGCTTTTAGCTATATATTTTATTTCGATAAAATCTTTTCATTTCATTTTATGCCATTTTGTTTCAATATAGGTTTTCATTTCTTTAGGATATATACTTAAGACTGGAATTACTGAAGTACATAGAACTTCTGTTTAAATTGTTGAGTAACAGCCAAACTGTGCCCCAAATCACTGTACTTTTACATTCGTAGCATCAGTGCAGAAGGGTTCGTGTTTCCCTGGATCCTCACACTTGCTACTTCTACTACTGCTGCTGCTGCTGCTATTACTACTCCTATTACTACTAGTACTATCACTGCTGCTGCTGCTATTACCATTACTACTACTACTACTACTACTACTACTACTACTACTATTACTATTGCTGCTGCTAGTATTACTACTACTGTTGCTGCTACTACTACTATTACTACTTCTACTACTATTACTAATACTACTACTATTACTGCTCTCCTAAATCTCACTGTGGTTTAGATTTGCATTTCCATAGTGATTAACAACATTGAGTATGCTTTCATATTCTTATTGGCCATTTGCATGCATATCTTCTTTGGAGAAATTTTTTTTTTGTACAGAGTCTCACCACACACTTAGACTCATAGTGATCCTTCTGTTTTCAGCCTCCCCAGCACTGGGATTACAGGCCTGCGCCTCCGGGCCCAAAGTCAGTGGCCAGCTCAGCACAGCCAGGGATGGGGCCGGCACAGCATGCAGTACCCAGAATCAAACCCTGGTCCCTGTGCTTGCCTATGCAGGAGTTTAGTGTACTGAGCTATCTCGCCAGCCCTCTTTGGAGAAAGATTGATTCAAGTCCTTTGCCTATTTTTAATCGAGCTGTCTTTGTTTTTGAGATGCAATTATTATTTATGTTCCCATCTGGAGCCTTATCAGATATATGACTTGCAGATATTTTCTCACATTCTGTAGGTTATCTTGACAATCTTTTGATGCACAAAGTTGTTTTTTTTAATTTTGATACAATCCAGTTTATCTATTTTGACTTTGTCAGTTTGGTGTCTGTTTTTTGTCTTTGGTGCCATTTCTAGGAACCAATCGCTAAATCCAAACAATGGAGATTTGTTCCCATACTTTCCTCAGAGTTGTATAGATATACATGTTGTATTTAGGTCTCTCAGACATTTTGAATGAATCTGTGTACCCACTGTGAGTCGGGGCATCCAAATTGGTTGACATACAGCTCCCAGCTATTTAATGTATATATAAACAGTTGAGCCCTGTTTAGGTTACAGAGTGGGAGGCTGATGTAGGCAAATGGAGATGGAGGTCACTCTCTCATGTCAAGAGAGAGAGAAATATGGATAAGGCACCCGCCACAAAATCAGCAGGCCAACATTATGCTCTGCCCTCCATTTTAAGGAACTTTTGGCAAAAAAAGCAGAAATTTCTCTCCCTGCCAGACCTCCAAAGTAATAAATACATTTGTTTTAAAAATCAGAGGAAAATTTTTACAACTCTAAGACAGTTCCAAATGATTATTTTCTACCTGAAGAAAGTGTAAAGTAACCATCAGACTTATTCTGTAATGATTTTTTTGTGCTTTCTTTGCAAAGTTTCTCTTTAAAATGTAACAGCGTTTCAAAGGTTGGGACTGAATTTTAGGTACACTCCCCTCCATGATCTTAGGGATAGCAGGCAAATGGTGTTCTCCAGTGATCGGGCACTGGGGGTGTGTCTGCTCACTATTCTCTCCCTGATGAGGAAACCTACCTCCCTACTATCAACTCAAGATTTCTGAGCCAGTGAGCCTGACAAAGAATCATTTCTGTGCTATTTGACTTCAAGGGTTATCTGATAATGGACCACAAACTAAATAACTTAAAAAACATCATTTTATTGTGTGGTTCTGAAGGCTGGTAAAGCTAGTTTGCTGGCATTATTTGGTGTTCTTTAGCATACAGTTATACCACCTTGGTATTTCCAGTTAGTTTTACCGTGATCTTCTCCCTGTGTGCATGTTTAGGTCAAAATTTCCTCTTTTTATAAAGACACTATTTATATCAGATTAGAGGCCCACTTTTGTATGGTATGATCTCAACTAACTACATTTGCAATGCCTCTATTTCTAAATAAGGCTAAATTCTGAGCTACTGGGGGTTGGGATTTCAAACTATAAATTGGGAAAGACAAGAGAAATAAAGAAGGAAGAGCAGCAGATTTGTAGCAAAAGGCCCACTGGAAGCATTGGTTGTATCTATAGTTCAAAGGACCTGGCCAGGCTTAGGGGGAGGTGAGCTTAGGCCAAAGGTACTCCATATGTATTTCCATATTATTTGAGGCCTCTTCCACCTAAGCAAGAAACCTTTGGCACTTGGTATCACAAATCCTTGCAAATCAATGTTCAAAAGAATTGAGAAACATTGTAGAACATATTGTAGTGTAGCAAACTCATGGCTGTGTGAGCAGAAATAATAGAATGGTGACTGATAGTGGTAAGGTGTGTTATCCACACCACTGTGGCCACAACGCAGGCAAACATAGAGAACCAGAGTTGCCACCTGCAATTCTTGAGTGAACTCAGTTAGCACCACTCTGGCTCCATCCAATTAGCACATTTCTGAGTCAACCTCTGCTGGGTTTAGCCTTATACTCTCCCCCACAATGACCCTCATAGTTGAGAAGCTGGTGAATTGTCTAGAGCATAAAGTGACATGGGCTTGACTTATACTATTGATTCAAGAGCAACAGTCTTTTTTCCAGCCAAAAAAGTGATGCACTTCTCACCAATCTACAGACATATATA